ATCTCTTTTCAAAGCAAATTCATGTCAATGTCTCAAACAAAAGACCCCACTGCAGTGAGGTGAAAATTTTGGAGTCCTTTTAATACCTTGAAGAATAAAACATTAAATCCAAGTGCTTCATAATATGCATCCCTTATCTTGCGTCAAAAGTCTGGAGATCTCTCTTTTTCATGAGACCTGATGCAAACACTTTGTTAAAAATGATTAACATGTAGTTGGTATAATGTATGCTTCCTGCAGCCATTGTAAGGAGCCATTCAATTATTTTAGTTTTAACTTTCAAATTTTTTTTGAAAGTTTTTTGACCCCCCACCCACACCCACTTTCAATTTTCCTTCAGTATTATACACAGACCATACATGATGGCGGCCATGTTTAATGTCACACCACAATCCCACATACATGTACAAATTCCTGTTACAATGTTCCCTGATATAACGTTCTTCTCTTTTTCTCATGCCAGGCTATTCTCCCATTGATTGTGTACATTTAACTTTCTTAACAGTGCTCTTGTTTACAGCCTTTTCAAGTCCAAGTATCACCTCCCTGATAAAAACATGCAAATTATTGCAGGGCAGGAACTTCGTTCTGGAAAGGGCAAGGCAATTTTCTCATTTGCAAAGGGCACTTGTATTTGAAAATTAACTTGTCTATGGGGCACTTCAATGAGCATTGAGGCACAGACCGGGGGCATCATCAAGGCCCTTGCCTCTGATGCCTCACTGAAGTTCCTGCCGTTATTGACGTGACATTTTTTTGTATTATGCAGCAGTGCATCAGCTGAAAGTGGCTACCTTCATGGACCAGCCATAGCTCCGTGGGTCAAGCGTTGGTCCAACAGAAATCAGGGTTCACTGGACGGCTGAAAAAACGTGCAATGAGACTTCAACATGGAAACATGAAATCTGAAAAATACCTATGAACCGGTATGAAGAGCGATTTAATTTTGTGACCTAACTCACATATAGTTCTGAAGTTTTTTATCGTTTCATGTTATCAGGCTGTGGAGGTTTCGAATGTATTATGTTGTCACAGGGGTCACTGGCTCCCAGCCATTTCATGTCATTCTTGCTTTTTCTAGTGGTAGGAACCAGTTTACCATGAATGCTTCACCTAGTGTGCTTCCACCACACAACTTGAGTAGTGCAAGTTGCTTCACATTTGCGGGAAAGCCTGTAGAGTTTGCAAAGTACCAATTATGACGGCCATTTTATACATGTGTTTGACACTATACACCCTCATCTACACATACATGTACACAAGTATTTATGGAAAGATTCAAGTTAGATGGCACGTACATGTGTTCACTGTCGGATTATGTTTTACGGTGCAAGTGCACATGTGCATGGATTTTACCTGGTTACATTGGTTTCAGCACTGCTCAGATAACGTAAAATAAGCTCGATACCTACATGTAGTTATTACAAGTACATGTATGTAGAGTGCATGAACAGGAATCTGTCTCATGTAGCACATAGTAACAATCCACCCTGCGGTCCTTGTAATTTAAGATTCAAATGGGTGAACAATCCAGTGGTAAAAGCAACTGGTGATCAATGCCTGCAGTGTGAAAACTGATTGAGCGCACATGGTACCCTGCTGCATGACCACTACAAATGCCTGGCTTCCAAATCTAATGAAAAACCGTCTTCACCCATAGAGTTTCACGCATACAGTATATGGCGCACAGGTCAGTCTATCCGAAACACAGAACGAAGTAGAAAGGAATGTGCTTACAGAACGCTGGAACAGCGTGTAGTTCACACAAGTATGGTGGCCCTGAAGGGACATACAAATTCACGAATTGTCACGAATATTTTTGGGACATCCTGAATATTTTTCAGGCATGTCATGAACAAATTCACTAGTCGCACACTTTGTCACAAATATTTTTCCCGTAGACTAGTCGCGAATGTCATTGTCCCTTCAGACACACACACAAGTCAACTTTTTCCCCGTTTTATGAAAAGTGAATTTTGATTTTCAATGATTGACCTTAACCCCCACCCACTACTTTGAGAAAAACACTGAAATCAAAACCACTGAAATTAAAACCACTGAACTTAGCAGTAATTTGGGGGCAAGTTTAGTACGTGTAGTTTCATTGACCAACATCTGAAGGTCCAGTACCAGTTCAGTACATGAACACAATGGATCTGATTTCCTGTTTTAAGGTACAACATTAAGTGATTTACAATTCAGTAATTAGAATGCTCTTAACAAGTACTTGTACATATATGTACAATGTACGTGTAAATTATAGGTGCATTATACAAATAATGTAAAAGACCTTCAAACTTCAAAATTACGGGTCCTATAATAAACTGTTTGTCAGGCAGATGATTGAGTTACATAATTTAACCCTGTTGTGTTGTGTTACATCATTTTTTTTCCTCCTACGGGTACTGCCTAAGCCCTCAAGGTGTGCAAAGAGATGTTGTGGGCTAGTCCAACTGCATGCTTAAACCAGACTGCTCAGGAAATAGAGGGAACTACACTGTGGCACAGGCAAATGCGGAATCATGCAATTTAAGGAATTGTGGCTAATTGCTCCCCCAACCCCTTGGTAGAAATGGGGATACTCACACACACATGGCATTAATTCCAACATTCCATCTTTTTTAGTGAATTGAGTAATGTGGTAACAGCTGTTATGCACTACTGTGAAACCTACATGTATGTTCCCATAGTCGTGATATTGAAGTAATTTGCTATAGAACATAGTGTCCTTTGAAAAGTTGCCAACACTCATGAATCAAATCATTTTCCTCAGAGAAACCTCCATTTTTAGGGTACGCTTTCAGCTGGTATACATACACTTAATTCAAGGAAAATAATGAACCTAATTCAAGGAAAATATTTCCATCGTAGTTCAATATGCTAGAAATTCATCCTTATCTGCATTCCCAGCATGTACATCTTTAGGCCCATGATTTAAACCAATGTCACCAGATGTGGCCAGGTTCAAGTATGTGGATCAACTTCAACCATGGCCATAAATGTTTCCCAATGAGCTGGCGGGGATCCAAGAAGACGCTGCGGATACTGCCGCAGCCTCCGGAAGCCAGGGCCAGAGCTGCATTCTCCTCTGGCTGGTTGTGGAGCTCTCCCTCTCTCTGCCTCTCTCAGTGATAGAGAAATACAGGCCAGACACGCACGCAATCAATCACTCAGCATGGGGACAGCATCTACAGAGCCCCAGTGCCACACAGCACGGTCTTGCATATTAAATACCACTGCTGGAATATCATGCAGTAAAAATTGACGGAATAATTGGAATTCAGACCGCTATCATTTATTGACAGAGGCTTGCAAGATCATGCATGATAATGCGGAGTCTGACTTCAAATTAGCCTGATTTGTTTAGCTCCCAGGTTTGAGAAGTTCCCTCAAAGGCAAAACTCAAAGATATTACAACTGTATTAAAATGTATTACTTTTTTCACCAACCAACAATCTTATCCTGTACAAAGTAACCATTGTCAACTGCAATAAAAAAGTAACTGGAATCCTTTTTTCCCCTGCTTGAATAGTTGTAATTTAGGGATTAAATTTTCAGGATTTCAAGAGTTTCAGAAGTACAAATCTATCATTTTTGACCAGGCAATCAAGAAATCATAGCCATCAAGGCATTCATGCTTGCGTGCATATCTATGCGGATCTTCTTTTAATGCCATACTGTGGTCAAAGCTACCCTTTGTTCATTTACGTTTCACACATCTATAACCTTCTATTTTTAGCAAAATTGGCAGTTAATGTTGTGTCATACGATGTGTGATAAACATGTGGCACTTAAATATTTCTTAACGCATGTGCGTGCTGTCTATAATTTAAAGTATGTGCATGTACAGTACGCGTGAAATCAAACAGTAGAGTTCTCAAGGTATTCCATATATATATAATATATATATGGATATTCCATATCAAATGGAATATATTCATGTAGTTTGAAGGGCTACATGAAAAGTCACACGTACATGAGGAAAATCTATTTAAAATCATTTCATCGTATCATGGAAACCCATCAAGAACATTTGAACAATAGCAGTACGCCTGTCAGCTGGGTATTGCAGTGATACTGCAGACAATTACAAGACGTGATAAAAAACCTTACTTTGCATTTACTGAGCATTTTAATATGGTTTATCATTCTGTAATTTCTCTGGACCCCAGTGACTAAACCCCAGGTAAGCATTCTCAGAGCTTTCATGGAACTGCTGTAACATCTTTTCCATGGAAAAAAAATCCAAGAAATGTAAGCAACAAAATTAATATATGGTAAAGTACAAAAGGAGTAAAGATAAGTGTTTAACTGTAAAAATTGCATGTAAGTTTGCAAAGTTCTGCAAAGGCTCACAAAAGAAACATGGAATTGTGTAGACTTTCATTTACTGCTTCAGGAAAAGATGTCCTTCCACCCAGTCATTTCAAACGTGTCCAACTGATCCTTAACCATTACCATAAGACAAGTACACAAAAGACCTTGTGAAAAATACATGAATATGATTGCTATATCAAAAACAGGAATGCATGTACATGTACATGAAAGTATAGTACATGGCATCCCCCATGGGACTAGAATACAAGCAAATGAACAGTATGGTATCAGGGTTCAATTTTTTATGATTGACATGATGAAATACTTGTAGAATAACCTTGGAGCTAAGAAGATTGTAATGAATACCCATGTTATCTTGGTCTTCACCACGGAGCCACTAAAATGATAATGAGGATGGTATTGCTGTGTCTAAGGATGAAAACAAATGCAGGAAGGTCACGCAAAGCGTTCTCGAAAGTCATTGCACTGACAGCTCACTTCTGCTGTCTCAGTCTAATTGCGGACAGTGGTCACATTTGACCATTTTTTATTGGACCACACTGTTTTTCCGACGGTAAAACCGTCGGAAAAACAGTCCAGTGCGAACACGGCTTAGGAATTACTCCACGTTTCTACTAGACTCCTTATTACATGTATGACTGAGTGGATTCCAACTTTCTTACCTCCTCATCTTTGTTGGTGAACTCATGGGAGCCGGAGACCTTGTTAATGACCTGTGCAACTCCAATCACATCTCCGTCGTGGTTGATGATGGGCATACAGAGAATACTGTAGGTGCGGTAGCCAGTTCGCTTGTCTACCTCGGGATTGAAACGAGGATCCTGTACATTAGATTTAAAAAACAGAGAGAAGTGGTATATTAATCACTGTGCATATACCTACATGTATAGAGCATCATTCTAAAATTCATTATCACTAAAATGTACAGGAGTCAATATTTCAACGATATCATTTTCCCAAATAAAATCATAGCCATAATTTTCAACGAGTACAATTATACGAAAATATTACAATTGAATTATTATTTAATATTTTATCATGTGTGTTTTTTACAGGCATAGCTCAAATCCAACAAATTTTGTCTAATCAGAAGATTTCAAAACAGTCAAAAAATTGTCAGGCACATACATGTACGTACTTGGGTGTTTCAACAAACATTTGTTGAAACCTAAGCACCCGTTTTCCAATACAATTGAGTACCCACTGAACCCTCACATACTGCTCTGGCAAGCTCTGTATCTAAAAGACAATTTCAAGAAATTTGGGACTGAACTGAGGGAATAATATTTATCCCTGTAGCAAATATGTCCCAACAACTACTATCATTCAGTACATGCGCAGTCCCCACAGCTACAACAGAAGTAGTATGTGTACTGTACACACATACATGTACATGTACATACAAATCTCTTCATATTTGCCGTCAACTATTGGTACATGTACATCATGTGCACATCAGGAGCGTAGCCAAGCGGGGCCTGGGGGGGGGATTTGCCCCTACAAATTCCCATTCCCCTCCCCATGTGCCCCCATCAAAAGAATGGATGAATGGATACTGAACAAGGCTAACAAAAGCTTGCCCCCCCAAAAAAAAACCCACCACAGAAAGCTGCCCCCCCCCCAAAAAAAGATGCTACTATCCCCTTGCGCCTCCCCACTAGTAAAATCCTCGCTATGCCACTGGCGCACATATCTGGTACCAATACACAATAGTTCATGGCAGTCTGATTTTTATCCAGCATGCTACATGTAAACCGTGTTCTCAATCTTAGCTGGGTTTTCTACATGAATTAACATGGTGATGCGCACAAAAAGAGTGAGTTTCAATGTAAATGCAATTAAGTCAGTCTGTCAGCCTGAACATTTCAGCCATTACTCAGGGACACTCTCAAGTGCGTGGTGTCCTAGCAACCACCTGGCGACAAACAAAACGTGTGAAATGCTCTTCTCCTTGGTTAAGATTTAGAAGGCTCTCCATTGTTATCGGTAGTGCAGTTTGTTTCTTTTACCTGAAGGTTGGCAATTTCATCCCCAATTTCCTTTCAGGCAAGACATAATTCCAATTTTTGAGAGGGATGTCACGAAAGAACAGTGATGGCAAAATTTAATAACCAGAAAAATTTCATCCTTTTGTAGTCAAATGGAGCCTTTTGCACAATCTTCAAGTGAGAGATTTCTATTTTTAAGTTTTCCATATCAAAATCTGAATGCATCTCCAAGTTAACATTTTAAATAATGCCTGTAATCAAAAATCTAGTTTTCTAGGAAATCAGGGGGTTTTGCCAACATTTATTCTATCATAAAAAAATGGTGGTTGGCATTGTTTGTTTTGCAAATGCTTGTTAATCAGTCACATCATTTACAAATGTAAATTCTGTATGTGCAAGTAATTTAATGGAAAAAACTTCAAAAACAGTTTTATGTGGAAAATTCAATCATATAACCACATACATCTGATTTTGTCAGTACAGAATTTTTCAAATATTTGCTTCATAACTTTAATCAAATCATTAATGTCTAAAAAATGAATATCACTCAGTTCAAATTTTACATGATCAACATGTACACATTCCTAAACAGAAACTTGATCTTTGGACATGTTATGATTGAAGCAGTGTGGTTTCCCGATCGATTTCCACAATAACACATGCTTCTGTGTATTTGCTGATTAACTTACTAATTTACCTTTAAGCAGAGCAATTAAAAGTGCCCGTTGGCTAATGAACGTGTCATCAATGGAGAGAAAGTGTACTGTAGCTAGTCTCCAAGAACCAGGCCATAACAAATTGAATTGCTTGCAGTGGAGTGGAACAAGCAGCATATTAAGCACAATACTGAGTCTCATCATTAGCAGGGTCACGCATCGGTTAAGTGGTTCATTCATCATTCTTAATTCATCATGGAGAGTGAAAACCTTCCATACTTCCATACTGACTGAAACTGACCTGTGTGTATAATTTCACAATGATCAAAAATTCAAGGATCGATGCGTCTTTGTCAATCAAAAGTTACTTTTCTTTTTCCCTTTTTTTCTGCAAATTTGCTTTTTCAAGTGTCTAATTAACAAAACTCACATGATGGGACATGCTACACAATTCAGACTCCATTTGCCCCTCCCCTTTGGGGCGGCCAAACAAAAGTACAGACTCTATGACCTAAAAAAAAAAACCTGGGAAAAAAATTTGGCTGAAATGGTTTGTTTTAAACCGTGAACTAATGCCAATGTAAAACAAAACACCAACCAAGCCCTGAACTACATGTACATGCAGCATATCTGTAGGATCATTTACTGGTGTACTGCTTTAGGAAGAAGCCAATCGAGTATTTATAACACAAACCATCTTTACTGAAGAATCTTTGTCCTTTAAGTTTCCCTTCATGTATCAGACCACAATGCCAAAATGCTCTTCAGTACCATGCAGTACAAGTATGCATCGTGCCTTCGAAACCGTCTTTCCTAATTTTGAACACAAAAAAATTACCCTAGCATGGTCTAAAGTAATTTTATGAACACTTTAAATGCATGTACATGTACATCCACATGTACCAGGTATGAACCACTATGATATTCAAATAAATATGTTAAATGTACAAATTTGGACCTAACCCCTGATAATTTATAGTAACTCATTAGTGGTTTCAAAGGAGAGAATTGTCCAATTGGGAACCGCATGCATGAATTTAATTTGGGGCTTTTAACTTCCATTTCTATAATGACACCCTATGTCAATCTTCAAGTACAGTGTCTATTCTGCATGTGTGTAATTTCAAGGTGTTAATTTTTGCAATGCAAATCTGGCTTCAGCAAGTGCTCAACTGTCAGACATGGCGCCTGACTAATCATGACAGATTGAGCAGGCCGAGTCAGAGAAGACAAACAGTTGCAAACATTGAGCAACCCAAATTTATGAATGTTGCTTTATCAAGAGTAACAACACTAACGACAGTCCATGCTTTCTGCGAAGACACATCATCTTCCTGGCAAACACCAAGTGAGGTTTGCGTGCCTAGTGAGCAAAGACCTTCGCTGTACATGTTTGGACAGCTGTAATGTTCACAGCTCCATAACACCACAAAGCCCAACCTTCCCCAGCAAGCACACCAACAACTACTCAATACTCAGCAAGCGTAGAAGACAGTGAATTTGAAGCCCATGCTGATATTAATTCCAGTAATTCCAGCCGGCCCACTCCCATAAGCCCCTAGTGCATTTCAGGCAGTCAGCTTCATCCTGCGCATCATGTGTTCAATTAAGCACCAACAGTGCACAACCTCTACAGATAATTGTCTAATTTTCTGTCCTAAATTAAGATCCCCGAAGATAAAAAGAGTTTTGAAAAAAATTCAACGAGTGGGTGTATTACTGCATGCATGCATTTAAGGCAACAAAACAAAACAACCCCCACCCCAAAAACTGACATAATCTAAGGCAAACATCAAATAAAGTCACTGTGGACTAATAGCCTGTATAAAAATGAATTAGACGTGTAAAGGACATCCTTAACTGTATTTATTAAATGTACCTTTAAAGGGAGTTTATACCATTGGTTTTTTGCCGTGATTTTACAAGTTCTGCTGATTTACAGGTGTAAAAATAATTGCAGTTTTCATTGCACTGACTTATTCACGTTTGAATTAACTTCTTTGAGAAAAATATTCAAAAAACATAGTAATCTTTTCAATGGTCAAATTGAAGATCAAGTTGTAATTTATCTTGTGTGAAATCTATGAACTACAGCGCATTCTGGGTGAGTGAACAACGTACTCGCTGGGTCAGTCTGCAGATGAACAAGCATGACAGGTGCTCTTGCCCTTTTCAAAGATCATTTTTCCACGGCAAAGAGTAATCAGTAAATTTACCTTTGCCTCTTCGATAATTTAACACTGCGGATTCATGGAAAAAACTTCATCAAGCAGTAAAATCATTGAAGTCAACTCGAGTCCGTGACGTGACACAATTTTACACAACCTACATGTAAGCATAGGGGTCATTCCATGAGGTTGGGTCACAATTTGTGACGGTTTCCTCATTACATCAAAAACTTTTATCAACTGTTGTGACCTGTAGAGTAGGTCATTTACTTGGTAAAAATAACACAATATATACAATATATCTATATTCAGCCTTGCAAGGTGTACAGTATGACAATGTCAATTTGGAATCCACATGTAGGGAAATAACTGTTTATTTTTACGGAACCAATGTAACAATTGACACCATCAGAAATTGTCCATCAACCTCATGGAAAGACTCATATGAGTGTGCAATTATGCTTCACGACCATATTTTCCTGTCAGTTTACCTGTCAATGGAAGTACTAATAATTATGGACACAGAGAAAATTATCTCTGGAAACACAAGTGGTTTGATGTCTGGAATCGTAGTTTTTGTTGTAAAAAATCCTGTAGTTGTACACTGAGCTCAGAACAGCCGCTATGTTACAGTTTTGATCATACCATTATGCTTCAGGGGTGATAGTGAGATGGCAACATTTCACATTGAGAAAATGCCTTTTTGTGGATAAAATTTGACTCGAAACTGCTCCAATTTCTTTAATTTATACCTTACATTAAGTTTCCTCTTGTTTCAGTTTTCAACACATTTTGTAAATTTCCACTCGTGTGTTGCTGCTTTTAGTTTTACCCAATGATGATTACTCCTATAACATCTGTACATACCACACAGAAAAATGGGTGCATGTTAACAGATATAATATCCAAAAGGACACAAACTACACAATGGTCGGCTGACCGTTATTTTAAAAAAAGACAAAAATTCTGTTTTCCCCAAAACTACAGCATTCTGGACGGAAATATTTCA